CAGCAGCAGCAGCAGCAGCAAGAACAACAACAGCAAAAACAATTACCACATCAGCAACACAATAACAACAACACAATAGAGGGATTGCAAAACAAACCAAAATAAATTTTACACAGTACGATGAAATCTTGTTTAATTTTCACCCTGTGATCAAATAGGGCCTACTATCAGTGGACATGGCTCCATAACAAGAGACGATAGTTATTATAATGATGCGTAGATCTGCATTTTATAACTCTTTGATGAGGATGTATGTGACCAATTAGGACAACGAGTGCAAGAAAATCTCAGCTGCTTTGAACACAAAGAAAAGGACTGACGTATCAGTTTTTTCTCTCTCTCTCTCTCTCTCTCTCTCTCTCTCTCTCTCTCTCTCTCTCTCTCTCTCTCTCTCTCTCTCTCTCCATATATATATATGTCTGTGTGTGTGTGTGTGTGTATGTAAGCCTTCACTGCAACATATTTCTCTATCATCCCCACTGAAGTTTATTTCATCCTATGACTTTATTCCTGAGCTGTATGTTTGTTGGTTCTGAAGTTTATTTTTGTTTAAGATCATGTTCCCCCTTGGAGCCACTCTTTTCTTTTTTCCATTTTCTAGGGGTGAAGAGAAAAGACCTTTTTCTTCCTCCTACTTTTCATAAGGCAAAGGAGTCCTTTAACCCTGTGTCATCTAAATCAGCAGCAAAAATACTGCGCAAACTCCTGTTCTCTCCACATCCAACCATCCATCCATTCTTTCATTCATCCACCCATCCTCCCCTTCATACACACACACTTTGGCTGGTCATGACCCATTGTTTCAGCAAAGTGTGTTCACAAAAACCCATGACCGCATGTTGCGTGATTCATTCCATCACTGGCACTGGGCTTTTCCCCTTCTCTCGACTAGCGTAGACCACAGTACAGTGTGCTGATCTACTCTTTGGTTAGCTTTTTGTGACTGTTAGGCAGATTAAGCAAGTTGGTAACGTCAAAGAAAAAGTACAATTTGGAGACCGGGCAGCTCAAATTGCATATACAAAGAAAGTTACATGAGAAAAACGTTTTTAAAAGTAAGATTTGATGCACGAGTGGCATTTCCATCTCTAAGCTGTCCACAATCATTGCTATTTCAGCCACCCTCTCTAAATTGAAAACACAGTCAAACCGAAGAAAATGCAACGGTTCCAGGGATTTCAGTTTAAGCCGACTCCGCTGTGAATAATATAGGTATCGCAATATGACCCCCAAGAAACTGATTATTGACAGAAAAATTAAGGGAAGCTCCCCACCATCCCCCTTCCTTCTACCCCCTCACCATTTTCCTCTCTGAAACAAAACAAAAGTATACAAAACATCTGCCCGTTACTCACTTGGAATGATAGTCTTGTATCTGTTCTTCATGCCAGATCCAGCAACAGACACCTTTTCTGTATGATTCATGGGGATTTCCTGTAAATGGAAAAGGGAAATATTTATTTCAATTATCTCTGCAGGTAAACTTGGTTTTGCAATGGCTTGTAAAATGCATACATATAACAAAATCAAGACATTTTATCAACATAATAGCATACATAATATAACATCAATACAGACAATATTATAACATTCCTGGTCATCACAGTGTGGCATTTTGCTTGTTTTAGTAAATGTTTTACGGCAGTCGCAACACAATAAGGTCATATGAGTGCCGAAGATTAGAGGTGTTTGTTTTGTTTTAGTAAGTGTTTTACGGCACTTGCAACACAATAAGGTCATATAAGTGCCG